TTTTTTTTTCTTCTATTGTATAACTTTCTTTATATTTTGGAAGTTAAAAAAGCATTAGTAACTAATTAATGTTATATCAAACAAATTAATCTTATAATGATGACATTAGTGATGACATAATGACATTAAATAATGTCATCGTTGAACAATGATAACTTCTCTGTTCAATTGTATTTAATCATACTAAACAGTAACAGATAATGATGATTATCATATTCTGATTATCAAGCACATATTCATTTATTTGCTATTAACATGCATGCAAATCAATTTACAAGAAACATTCAATTGAATTAAATTTTGCATGCATAATGCAAGTTTTGCATGCATTGTTAATTTTCATTTTCTACTAATTAAAAAAGCTTTATTAAAGGTAATTTTTGCAATTTTTGTAATTGGTAATTTTTGGAAAACAATTTTTAGAACGATTATTTATCAAATAGAAAGTAATATAATTTAAGAATTTGAATATTTAACTTAATATATATATATATTTAAAATCTAACCTTAACAATTCCAAGACCAGAACCACCACCACCGACATTCGATAATTCAGAAACGAGATTACCAGAAAGCCATAAAAGCAGTAACCATTCAACTGGATTCGGCATAATACTTCGTACTTCGTAAATTTTATGTGTCAAACTGAGTACCACAATTGTAAGTAAAATTGTAAAATAGATATGTGACACTAAAATAATTTTGAAATGTAACTTTAAACTGTCACCAATTTTAACTGAGAATTAGAAAAAGTTTTAATATATCTTAATGCTAGAGAAAATATCAATGTAAATGAGTGAAAAGAAAAAATGAACAAAATTTTGCATAAAATTAAAAATGGCTTTTTTTTTTTTGTTATTTCATTAAATTGCTTCTATTTGTTTATTTTTATAATTTAAATTAAATTTAATATACCAATATGACAAACAAATTTGATGATTGGAGCACGTCCAATACGTGTATCAAGCGGTAACGAAAAATAAAACCATGCAGGTGGACAGATAAGTACCATTAATGTAAAAGCAACCGTTTTACCGAATGACCATTCTACACGTCCGGTCCAAACTTCCGTAAGATAACGCTGTACTGATGCATATGAAACTACTTCTTTCTGGAAATCAATAAAAAAAAAAAAGAAAGAAATTAAGAATAAAATATTAAACTTCTAAAATTAATCCATTTAATTTCCCAACATTTATTCACCTGTCCCGTTAATTTACCTTTCCTTATATTTACCTACCTGTTCCATTAATTTTAACTTTTCTCATATTTACTTACCTGTTCATTTTCGATTAATACATCCAAAAGTGGTCGTCCACGATTATCTTTTGCTTTCAATAATAATGCTGGATTATATTCACTTGCTGTTATACCCAACAATTCAACGGCCATATCTTCCGCAAATTGTGAGACATTTAGTAGATCTTTAGCACGTTCCTATGTCAATATAATTTCATTAAACTAATTAATCCAATTCATAAGTAAATAATTATTAGTATTATTAATTAGATTAGGGATAAGCAATTAATTTTTCCAGGAAGTCACATGAGAAATTGAAATGATTTTCGAGGGCTGGAGTAATATATGCTTAATTCAGTTCTATCCAATACCGTATCCGTACCGTATCCGTATGTATATATATCCTATCCCTTCATAAAAAAAAAAACATTGTAATGAATTTGCTGAAAATGTGAAGGAAATAATTATGATGATGAACTTGTGATGAAAGATTAACGGACTTTAGGTAAATGTAAAGAAATAAAATTAATGGAAATTAGAATAATCTATCAGATATTTAAATAAACGAAATTTCCTACCGTAAGAATGCTAATATTTAAATGTGAAGAAATAAAGTGGAAAATCAATGGAAATTATCCCAAAATATTAACATTTCAAATTGATCAACAAAAATTACCACAGTCTATTAGATTTTCATTTACAAATTCTGATTTATTAAATTCTTAATTGTGATTTAATAAATTCAGTAGGATTATTTCTCCAGAAATTTTCCTTCAACATTTCTTATCATTGTATTATTAATATTATCACTTTCCTTATTATCATTATCAATTTATCCAATATTTCTTATCATTGTATTATTAATATTATCATTATCAGTTTTATCAACATCCCTTATTATTGTGTTATTAATATTACCACTTTCCTTATTATCATTATCAATTTATTCAATATCTCTTATCATTGCTTATTAATACTATCACTATTAATTTCATCAACATCTCTTATCATTGCATTATTAATA